AGAATCCCTTATGTTTTTGTTAATTGTTTTAAATACTGTATCAAAAAATCATGTTTCACCATGGAGAGGATATTTGTAATGGAAATAATGCTTCTGCTTATATCCAGATGAGATTCCAGAAAACAGCAATAAGGTATCTGCTTCACCACTTTCCTTTTATCTTTTGATTTCATTTCATCTCTCTGTTGTATCTTGTTTCCCTGTACCCGTATTTTTCATTGTTTGCCATTATGTGAGGTCATCTGTAAACTTACAAGCTGGGCCACATTGAAACATGGGTGACAATCTTACCTTTATGACTTATAGTTCAGGATGCGTTGTGTAAACTAAGACAACTGAGCTGAAAAACCACTGGCTAAATTAATACAAGCCTCTATATACCCTCAGATTTCATTTAATTATCACTTGATAAAAGCTAATGTGAAATTAAATGGGCCTTTTTTCTTAGAAAATATGCTCTAAGTTAGGCCATGCAAACCAGGTAGTCAGCAAGGAAGCTAACACAAAAACCACCACAAATTTGACTGAATTCAAATGATACAAATCTAGGCAGGAGCTCTGGTAAGTTCAAAAATTAGGACAGGCCCGCATGTGATAATGAAAATATATTTATTTCTATTGTTATACATTTACATTTATGTACAAATGTTGAAAGAAAGTATCAATTTAAGACCACCATATGAATCAACTCAAAATTTTCTATTTTACTTACTAAATCATAAATTTGATTAGCCAACTGTACTTTTTCATCTGCATCTTCTAGCGCTTTGTAGTAATCCTGCATCAGAAATATTATGTAAGCAAATTGGTCACAACTGTTATTTAATAACACATTAATAATTACTAATTGAACTAGGGTGAAATTATCTAACAATGCATAATTATATATATTAATGCATTAAAATAAAGCATATTTTAATATGAGTGTAGTGCAACTTCCTCTATATGGAGATGTCCTTGAAGAACACACAGAATGTTCAACTGGAACAGCATGCAGAAACTTAGATGGGTGTATCTAGATTTGTCCATCTGAAAGCATTACTGTAAGAGCTACACTGGCTGTTTGCTTCCAGGCACAAATCTAAGTGTTGGACATCACTTTTAAACCCATATAAGGGCTCAGGACAGGTAATCTTTAGACCTGCCCATCCAGTAAAAGCTGGGAGAAAATGTTTAAATGCTTTTCAGTGATTGTAGCACCATACAGGCCTTGAAAAGCTTGCACTTTGATATGTGAAATATCTCCTTCTTTGGGTTTTTTTAAAAAAACTTTAAAGACCTGGCTCTTCAGCAAAGGATTTGGAAACAATGAAGATTGATCTGCTTCCATTAGGTGATGCTATTAGGCGATGTTCTAATTATTTTAATTTTTCCTTGCTGGATATGATCTGTTCAAGGGAGTTTTGAATTAGCAACATACAACCATGAGAATAAGTGAATATAAATGTATTTCTGGGACCATGATTTAATAAACATTCAGAGTTATGGGAAGGTTTGGGGAAAGATAATCAAGGAACTTGAAATGATGTCCTGTAATAGAGGTAGAAGAAGCTGAATATATTTAGTTTTAGAAACTCTTACTGAAGACAGTGTTGTATAATGGAATTGTTCAAATATTTCTATGCACAACTTCCATTTAGCAGGATATGTGATAACAGATTTAAATCTCAGGAAGGTAAACCCAAGTTGAAAGTTAGATAAAATTTCCTAACAAGATAATCACTTTAATAAAGGAACCCACTACCTGTGATGATGATAGGATACCCTTCATTGTATATATTCAAGCAGAGGTTAAATAGTTACTATTTGTACAAGATACTTAACTTTGGTTCTGGTATTGAGTTGAATGTATAATTGCTTATAATTCTATAATCAGAGTTCATAGTGAAAAAATGTTACTGAAATAACCAAGACCTTTGATTTAACTTGTTCATTTTGTATTTATTCATTTTACTGAATCAAATAGTTATCAAAATCAAATCTGAAGAAGTTAGTTGAACTTTAAATAGTTCTATCTCTTTCCACTATTTTCAAGCGTGGAAGATATTGTGTGCCCTTGAATATGTGGAAATAAAATGAAAGCTAGTATCTATATTGAAAATACACTGCATTTTAAAAATCTCATATAAAATTGTATAGGTGTAGAAAAATACATCAATGCTGAAATATTCTACAGTATTTTAATTCTGAAAAAGCTGTTCAAAACTGAAATAGGTTGTTCTAGAGACATTCCAGGAACATTTCAAGCATAAAACTGATCCCTTTCCAGCTAAAAATTACTGTATCAATTCTTTTCTTGTTATATGTCTTGTACTTTAATGCCTGTCTAATTAAAATAAAAAATAACTTTCTCTAAGTAGTAGAAATAATCCTTTGTCACTACTCACAAGTTATAGTTCTTTTTTCGGTTAAACAGAGAATCAAATGTGATAAAAAAATAAGTTTTATACAGAAGGAATTCTGCATTTTATCCTATGTGTGAAGTTTTTTTATATCTAAACTCAGAAGTAATTTAAAACAAATTCAAGGATCTGCTTTGGAGTTTTGTTATAAGAAGGCATTTGCCTTATTCTTACCTTTTTAATTGAAGTCATTTGTTCTTCTCTCCATTCCTGTTTGTTTTTCTTTGCATTCATAAAAAATTCATTTACTCTTTGCTCCAGCTGATCCATTGCATCTTAAACACAGAGAACATTCTATATGTTTATTTATCTAGATAAATATGTAATAAATAGGATAACACTAGTAAGTAAATACTTTTAATACACTAAGAAAATGACTGGTCATAAAACATAGTTTAATTTGTCCACTGAAATTTGTCTGACTTATATCTCAAGAGCTCAAGACAGCTAACAAGAGAACTTTTCCTTATTTTTAATGCACATCAAAAAGATCAGAAAAGTTGATTTGAGAACATGACTTGTCCAAAGTTCACAAGTGCATTTCTATGCCGAGGATAGGCTTGAAGGTGAGTTTCCTACCTCAGTTTGATATCTTAACTGATAAAACACACTGGCAGTGCTTTAATATTATAAGGGGCACATGACAAAATCATAGTATTTTTGTAAAATTAAGTCTTCCTAAATCCAGTGAAATTCCAAAATAAGGAGATATAAGATCACAATATTAGCTGAATGAAGCACTACAAACAAATTAAGTTTACTTCCAGACAGCATATTTAAGTTCAGACACATTTGTCATGAAAGCTGCAGCAAAGAAAATAGTTTCAAGATTCCTAACTGCTGAACTGTCTATATATAACAGAGCTAAGGTATTTCAGATGTTGCTATGCTGTAACCCCTAGCACCCGGCATAGATAAGACCAATGGTATTGTTGGATAATACTATAGTTAAGAGTCAGTTTGGACTAATGGTTAAGGCACGAGGCTAGAAATCAGAAGAATGAATTCGACTCCTGTCTTAGACATAATAGTCAGTTGGATGACTTTGGACCAGTCATTCTCTCTCAGCCCACAAAATCAAGTTCAAACAACAAGATGATCAGTCAATTCCTGTCACAACAAATGGATCAAAATTTTGTTTATCCAAAAAAACCTGAGTCTGCATTTGCAGGGGAACACTAGGAAGGAAGAAAAAATAATTGGGACAGTACTACTGAAATGCATTAATATATCCAAGAATATATTTAAGCAATTAAATTCAAATGCACCATAAACAGTGAGCAAGTCTCAATTAAACTTAAGTTTCCAAAACACATATTCATGTTTGACTTAATTATGATTCAGTTAGGAAGAGTTGCACGATATACTAAATCATAAATTAACCACTTTGAGTGAGTCAAAGCGTACCCACTAAGAGTAATGTAGTTGGCTTTTTATGGTTTAGTGTGAAACTCCCAACAAATAGCCAAAAATAGGGAAAGTGTGAATAATATCAAGAAAAGAAAATTGAAATATTTAGGACAAATGATATGTGTGACAAGAAATGTTAAATACTTCAGACACAACAAAAGTTTCAAAGGAAATTTAGAACTGGAAGTGATGTACATTCAGGCTGAAAAAAATCTACATAAATTATTGGGGGAAAGTAATAAATTTTGGACAGTACTATCAATAGTGTCACTGTTCAACTTCTTCCAGAAGGCACCAGAAATAAATGTTGTATATACTATACAGTATATATCAACAATGTGCAGAAAAATCTTGTGAGTTCCGCTTACTGTATTTATTTTGCATGAAGTTGATTATAATTTTTATTTTACAGATGATTCTGCATAGTGTTAACACCTGGTCAGAAGACCCATCAAGTCCATCCACTGCTAGAGAAACTCAAAGAACACCTTAACTCAAGAGGTTTGTGGGGGGGAAATGGGAGAAAGTGCTATGTATATGCTCCTGAAGGTCAGGCGAGATATGCATCTAATCAAACGTATTTCTTCATCCTTATCAATTTCCTACACTACTAACTTATTTTCATCTCCCTACTAGTGAATTATTCTTCTGAACTTATGTTTTGTGTTGTTGCGAAGGCGGTTATGGGTGAAGGTACTGTTTGCCTAATCCTACATTTCTGACGAATGCAAGACTCAGGCGGGCAGAGCCTAAGAGCACGTGTACTTTCCTTCAGCTGATAACTACGACTGTGCTGCACGCCTAGCTGCAAAGTAACTCTTCCCACCCTTCCCTCTGGAAGCCCTCGCCGGCCTGCGTTGGAAGCCGCGCCAGGGAGGCGGACTGTGGGCGGTGCTGACTCACGTACTCTGCACCTGCAGGTCCATCTCGCGCATCTCGGTGAACCTGTCGCGGAGATCCATGGGAAGTTGTTCGATCACTGCAGGGAGGGAGGGTGGAGAAGGAGTGAGTCAGTTAGATGCAACAGCCGCCTTGAAAGAGGGAGGAAGGTGGGCGGAGCCTACGCTGCGCTCTCGCCGTTCCCCCTCCCCTCGGGCCTCTTGCCCCCCGCCGCTTTCCCACTGCAGAGACTCACTCTCGAGGTAGTCCTCCAAGTACAGCATGGTGGCGGCGGCGGCGAGGCACGAGCCCAGGCGGCTCCGTTGTCTCTACGACGAGCGAGGGGGGGGTTGGGTGGGGTGAAAGGGAAAAAAAACACCGCCTCGTCCCTTCCAATATGGCGCCCGCACCGCCAACACCACCAGAGCTCGACTCAGCGAAAACAACATTGGCGGCTGACGGCGCTTGCTTCGACCGCGGCGCGATTGGCTCCTTGAGAAGGTGACGTATATTCGCGGTTCACAGATTCCCACTGCTTGCTGGGAAGTGTAGTTGTTTGAGCAAAGGCAGCGTAGACAGGAGAATTCAAAAACTACATATCCCAGAAGTCGTTAATTTTGACGCAGAAGGAACAGGAGGATGCTACAAGGACGCGGGGAAGTTGGAATTGTCCCTCGATGGCTTAATTACTGACGGCGCTGTTGTGCATGTTTACGTAGAATCGGTGTATTCGAGCTAATTCAGACGAACTAAAACTCACAAGTTAAAATGCTACTTCTAGGTTCTTTAAGAAACATGTTTCAAAAATATGATCTATAATAATTTATTTCCTCCTTTATAAGTTTAATATTAAATCATACAGTTACGTGAAATTATCCAAAATGTTGCAGATTTAGGGCAACTGCCATAATCTTTATTAATAGATTAATATTAATAAATTACGTAGCAGGGTGTGTGCAAATGTAAATTACAACTGATCCTTTTTATGAGAGTGGTTTCTTCTGCAGCATCCCCATCATGCACTAAACAGCTTTCTGTTCACCAACAATTCTTTTTGTTTGGGGGGAAACTGAATGGGATGTTGAATGGTGAATACCCTCATTGTCTGATATTATAGCTGTGGAAAAGAAGGTTATACATAGCAAAATAATGATGTTACTTGACAGGAAGGTGGAAGTCCCAAAATCCTAGAGGCAAATCAAAGTAGCAGTTCCTGCTGCTGGAAAATCACCTGTCCTGGAGTTTTAGAGTAAACCAATGGCTGTCCAAACAAGGTTTCATCTGGACTACGAGCCATGCCGAGGGTTTATTAACTTGGCTTCTCAAGTCCCATGGAAATTTAGTGATGTTATGGAGGTTCATGCTCATTTTATTATTTTTCTCAAATTGGGAAACAGAACATCAAGATACAAGAAAAAAAAAGATAGTTTGTGTGCTTCACAAAGGAAGTCTTACTACATAGCCTTTTAACCTGCATCATGCACACCCACAATTTCATTAAGGAAGAGCTAAAATTACTTAGCTGGCTCACTGATGTTATTTTCTTATTTTCTACTAGCTGGCCCACACAGGTGGTCCTTGCTATATTTTTTCATCTATGAAGAAAATATTCTAGAGTACTTCTACATATAAATGGTAGAAAAATAAATATAAATGGTCTCTTCAGCCTTTAAGATTACAACAGTCCAATGATTCCTAAAAGGACAATAGGAAATACTGAATTTTCTGTCCAGAATCAGGGGAAGTTTAGTCATGACTTATCTTTTGTTCCCCTTTATTTTTGTTGAAAGAAAAATCTTCAGGTCCAGTCTAAGCCAGGAATAAACAAAATGGACGTTGTTTGGAAAGAAGGTTCTTTATTGAAGAGCAGAACAGCAACAGCATGCAGTTCTGGGACAGCTGACAAAATGGAGCTGGAAGTGGTGGGTTTTTATACTTTCTTGGGCTTTTGTGTTTGGAGTTGTTCCTATTCCTGTGGCATTGTATTTGAGGCTTCCTGTTCCTGTGCAATGAACTTTGACTTGGGGTTCAGTGTGCCCTTTTGATATTCTAATGGTGGTGGGTTAATCCTCCTAAAGTTCATGTTCTTTGGAGTCTTTGTTTTTCTAATCCCATCAGCTCAAACCTTCTCTGGGGCTATGGCTGAAGGCATTTTGCTTATGAATAGGTGGCCCAGACTTTCTGAATAGAATTATCAAATCTGCATTTCTAAAGAGCTGGCCTGCTGAGTTTCTGCTTAGGGGAAAGGGAGAAGTTTCTACCTTTTAAGATTTTCTCCCATTATTCCTTTGGGAAATATAATATTCTGCCTTTTTAATATCCCTCAAAATATTTCCTTCTCTGATTGCTGACTTCCTACTATCCCCCCTTTGTGCCATATAAGTGTGGGTGGCACAAGATTAAGAATTGATCTGGTCAGGAAGATTTGATGGGTGTTACTATGGGGGTTCCAGGATGTGGGGAAACAAGCTTTTAAAGTGTTAATTCAAAAAGGAAGGCACTGATAGAGGTAGCAGAAAAGGATCCCTGCAGTGGCTCCCAAAAGGGGAGCTTCCAACTCATAAAGGTCTAAAAGTCAGGGCAAAAGTTCTGTTAGGTGGAAAAGAAATAGTGTCCAATATTCTATACCAATTCTTTTTAGATGTTTGATGCCACTTCCTGTGAGCTTTGTCAGGTTTGCACCTGCCCAAAATTCTTCACAGCCATGTTTTGCCTCAGTACATAACCACTGGCTACCCGTTTTTAAGCGTTTTTCCTGCCTTAGCTCTTAGTTTAGAGCAGGCATATCAAACTCATGATGTTGCGCAACATATCACAACGGTTTTGGTGTGAAGCATCCAGCCCACGGGCCGGCAGTTTGACATGCCTAGTTTAGAGCATCCAGATGATGTTAAATTGAGGTTAGCCAGTGTGCAAGCTGGGCTATTAATATTTCTTAAATTGCACACAGTGAGCCCTAGGATTCCCACTATGGGTCCACCAGTACAACATATTCAGGGCTTAGATTTGGAGATCTCTTTCCTGCTTCCTCCTCAGTGAGGCATATTAATTGTAAGTCACCTGAGAGGGCATGGTTCCCTACCCATGGAATGTGCAGGAAGGTATGCATGCAAAGGCCTTAGTGCCACAGAGTAAGAGCCAGCCTGGGGAACTTTACATGGAGGTAGGTGAAGGGGATAGCCTCAGTGCTTCTACAAGACATGCAATACAAAAATCCTAGATAAATTTCCCTCCCACTAGACAGAAGTCCAAGGTGTTCAGAACTTGCTGTGCCAACCATTCCAAATGCCATCCCTCCATGAATCCATTCAACTGGCTTATTGCAGTACAAATAGGGGAAGAAAGAAAACTTTACAGTGAGTTTCCGCCCTCCTCCCATAGTCTTTCCAGTTGTCTTCTGAGGCTTCACATGGGGGCCAATGGAGTCCTTCCTTTCTCTGCAGCTTTCACAGGCATCTGGGTGATGTAAGACTTGGGAAGATCTGTTCTACTCTGGTTGCATGATGACCTATTAGATGGCTGGATTCTAACCATATTCCATGGCTCAAATGAATGGAGGCAGCATCTGGGTCAGTGTGCTCCGTTTCCAAAGGTTGCTGAGTCATCTGTGCAGGGCTGAAAAATATGAGAACAAGGTCCCCTCCCACCTTTGTTGGTGACTCTCCCAGGAGAGGCATTGCTGATCGGACATAGGCATGGAGAACAGAGGATAAGAAATGGAGAAGCGGAATGTGTGTGTGTGTGTGTGTGTGTATAGCTTGCAAGCAGGGTTTTGAAAAGGCATATTGCAGTTGTTAAAGAAACAGATAAACAGACAAAATGGGGACACCACAGATGAGGAGACAAGAGAAGCTGGGTAGCTTGAGAATGCTGGACGCTCCAAATTTTAAAAGCCTAATATTTTAATGTATACAATTTGTCAGGGGCAGTAGGCTCTACCTTTAATATTTGCTTAAAATATTTAAACATCCTGACAGCATTTTTGCCCAGTATTACCAATGCACAATTTAGATTAAAAAGACCACATTACAGATTGAAAAAAAATGCTTATATATTCCAGGTTTAGTTCCATAGTAATTTTTTTTCTCTGGAGGGGGTGTGCTGACTTCCTACATTTTGAACGTAATTAAACAAGGACTCTTATGATTTTCCTTCATAGGCTTCATCTAGTATGCAGTAGGTTACTGGATCAATTTATTACAGTGGTAGATTTTGGAACCGTATGTTCTTATTCAATTTTCTCTATCTTTAAGTATCTTTAAGTAAATCTTTCAAAATAAAACAGCATTTTAAAAAAAGTCAGGGTTTTACAAGTTTGATGTAACTGTTCATTTTAATTCTTTTCAATTTATTTTTTTTAAAATCTCTTCAAAATAAATATTTTTAACTTGGCTATTTTCTTTTGTGGGTCTGGCTTTATGCTTGCTGAAACAGTATCTCTGTGGCTACAGTAAGGGAAAAAATTATTTGATCCCCTGCTGATTTTGTATGTGACAAAGAATTGATCAATCTGTAATTTTAATGGTAGGTTTATTTGAACAGTGAGAAACAGAATAACAACACAAAAAACACATTTCAAAAAAGTTATAAATTGATTTGCATTTTAATGAATGAAATAAATATTTGATCCCTTTTCAACCAGCAAGACTTCTGGCTCCCTGATTTCTTTTATACAGGTAATAAACTGAGATTAGGAACACTCTCTTATAGGAAGTTCTCCTAATCTCAGTTTGTTACATGTATAAGAGACAACTGTCCACAGAAGCAATCAATCAATCAGATTCCAAACTCTTTACCATGGCCAAGACCAAAGAACTGTCCAAGGATGTCAGGGACAAGATTGTAGATCTACACAAGGCTGGAATGGGCTATAAGACCATCGCCAAGCAGGTTGGTGAGAAGGTGACAACAGTTGATGCGATTATTCGCAAATGGAAGAAACACAAAATAACTGTCAATCTCCCTCGGTCTGGGGCTCCATGCAAGTTCTCACTTGTGGAGTTTCAGTGATCATGAGAACAGTGAGAATTCAGCCCAGAACTACACAGGAGGATCATGTCAATGATCTCAAGGCAGCTGGGACCATAGTGGCCAAGAAAATAATTAGTAACCCACTATGCCGTGAAGGACTGAAATCCTACAGTGCCCACAAGGTCCCCCTGCTCAAGAAAGCACATGTACAGTCCTGTCTGAAGTTTGCCAATGAACATCTGAATGATTCAGAGAACTGGGTGAAAGTGTTTAGTCAGATGAGACCAAAATTGAACTCTTTGGCATCAACTCGCTGTGTTTGGAGGAGGAGGAATGCTGCCTATGACCCCAAGAACACCATCCCCACCGTCAAACATGGAGGTGGAAACATTATGCTTTGAGGGTGTTTTTTTGCTAAGGGGAAAGACAACTTCACCCCATCAAAGTGAGAACCTCCTTCTCTCAGCCAAGGCATTGAAAATGGGTCGTGGATGGGTATTCCAGCAATGACCCAAAACACACGGCCAAGGCAACAAAGGGGCAGCTCAAGAAGAAGCACAGGTCTGGCTTAGCCAATCTCCAGACCTTAATCCCATAGAAAATCTGTGGAGGGAGCTGAAGGTTTGAGCTGCCAAATGTCAGCCTCGAAATCTTAATGACTTGGAGAGGATCTACAAAGAGGAATAGGACAAAATCCCTCCTGAGATGTATGCAAACCTGGTGGCCAACTACAAGAAACGTCTGACCTCTGTGATTGCCAATGAGGGTTTTGCCACTAAGTCATGTTTTGTGAAGGGGTCAAATACTTATTTCACTCATTAAAATGCAAATCAATTTATAACTTTTTTGAAATGTCTTTTTCTGGATTTTTTTTTTGTTATTCTTTCTCTCACTGTTAAAATAAACCTACCATTAAAATTATAGACTGATCATTTCTTTGTCAGTAGGCAAACGTACAAATTCAGCAGGGGATCAAACAATTTTTTCCCTCACTGTACTTATTTGAAGACAAGAGAGTTCATAAGCAATGCTTACTATTACACTGTTTTCATGCAAGTCAAAATTTTTATATCTCTCTCTTATTGTGAAGACTACATTGTCTTCTGCAGAGATGTGCTGGCGTGCTGTGATCAATCTTGATTTCCCAGGAACTCAATATGCAGTGCAATAAGAAAACATGCAATTGTGTATGTTACAAATTGTAAGTTAATTTACTAATGTGAAGATAGTAATACTAAAGGTACATCATGAGCTTGCAGCTTCTTCTCCTTACTAACTGCACATCTGAAATAACAGCAGAGGGTTATCCTAAACCACACATTCTTGTGTTTTGTGATATAATTCTCAGCACTAATTAAAATAAAATATATGATTTAAAGGAGATGGTTAAGAGTGACAAATCTAGAAAGAAAATATTGAAGTACATATCTGTTTCTGCATTATTTAATTTCTGTTTCTGTTAAAACCAGCAGTCTAAACTCAACGCCGACAAGGGGCTCATTTGTTCCTATGAAGTATCTTTGTTGATAGCAAAATGTGGCAAACCTCACACTATTAGAGAAATGCTGATTTTACCAGCAGTGAAACAGATTGTTACCACCATGTTGGGGCCCAACGCAAGCACTATCATGCAATCGATTCCTTTGAGCAATGACACCGTATCAAAAAGAATTGATGAAATGGCTGCTGATGTGGAAGAAAGGCTTATAGACACCTTGAAAAATACAGAATTCGTGATGCATATTGACGAGTCAACGATTCGTGAAAATGAAGCTTTGTTATTGGCTTATGTCCATTTCTTCAACGGAAATGAAGAGATCAGGGAAGAACTGTTATTTGTTCGAAATTTAGCCACCAACACAAAAGGTTCTTCGATATTTAAAAAGGTTGAAGAGTTTTTTAATGAGAAAAACATCCCTTTGACAAATGTCATGGCATGTGCAACAGACGGGGCTGCATCCATGGTTGGATGATATTGCAGATCTCAAGCTCATCTAAAATCAATTGTGCCTGAAGTTATGACTATCCATTGCGTTATTCATAGACAGTACCTTGTCTCAAAAAATTTGAATGGCTGTTTGCATGAGTCTGTATGTTAAACGTCATTAATGCTGTGAATAAAATTAAGTCGAATGCCTTGAACAATTGACTTTTTCACAAGTTTTGTGAAGAAAATGACGAGTTTGAACGTCTCCTTTTGCACACCGAAGTAACATGGCTTTCAAAAGGAAAGTGTTTGCGGCGATTCCACGAACTTTTTGACAACAGTTGTCGAATTTCTTGAATCCATTGACCAAGTCTTAAGTAGTTCTCTTAACTTCGATGTCTGGATGTAGCTTATCTCGCTGATGTTTTTGACAAGCTGAATGAAGTGAACGTAAAGCTGCAAGGAGATAAAATCAATTTTCTTAAGGCCAAGGGAGTAATCTGCTCATTTATTTCCAGATTGGACCTCCTTGCAAGCAATATGAGTCACCAGGAGATGTATCCATTCCCAAGCCTTGGTAATGAACGTGAACTCCAAGGAGAAGATTTGGACATTTTTTGCTGCCACTCGAAGTAATTAAAAGAAGATATGGAAACCAGATTCTATGATCTGATAAATCTGGAAGTGCCCACTTGGGTGCTAAATCCTTTCAAGCAGACTTTGCACAACTTCATCCCAAACTGCAAGAGCCACTGGAGATCTGAAATACGACTGTGAAGCCCAGTCACATTTTCAGAGTTACGGCTACGAAGCTTTTTGGATGAAAATGAGGAACACTTACCCAATATTGTGGGAGAAAGTTAAGTTGCTTCTTTTAGCCTTTCCTTCCACTTACTTAGTGGAGAGGGGCTTCAGCGCCATCCAACAGATCCTTTCTAAGTCAAGGAACATGTTGAAGATCTCTGAGCATAGTGATTTAAGAATGTGATTAACAAAAATGGTTCCAGACATCAAGAAATTGGCATCAGCTCACCAAGCACAAGGCAGCCATTGATTTTTTTTTTTTTTTGCTTTTTGTGTACATACATTTTTTTCATTAATAATTGTCTGAGCTTTTATCGTTGTATTTGCTTGCATTGGATTTCACATTCCAGTTTGAGTTTTCGGCTTCGTTTTTGAATTTTTGTTGTGCTTTATAAAACATTTTGTGTGTCTCTTTGTACTGTACTTTTTTAGCGTGCACTCATATATTTTCTTTGTGTCTTTTAAATCCTTTTTACAGTGTGCGTGACTATACTTTCCTCAAATCTTAATTTAGTTTCAGAGTTTTTGTCTTGAAATTCTTAGTTCCTGCATTGCGGTTTGTTCTTATGCCCTTTTTATATTTCTTTTTGCGTCTTAAATTTCATTTGTAATTCAATCATTACATGTTAACTGTTTTTCTTTTCGGGCATTTCATTTTCTTACAATTGAATTTTGTTTTCAGTGGTCATTACATTTAAGTGTCTTGAATAAATAAGATAATAATGAAATACATGTATTACGAAGTTTGGGAATAAAGTGACTAGTGGCACCAAAATTTTTCACACAGTTGAGATATGTGAAAAAGACTGGAAATAAATTATTTGCATCGATATGTCCTGATGACAATTTTAAAGAAAACAAAAAAAAAGTGTTTGCATAAATTGAAGAATTATTTCCTATGTTGTGATTGAGAGGTTATGTTGGGGGGAGGGTGGCGATGACAACTTCCTCATTGGCTCAAGGGGGCGATTCATTCAAAAAGGTTAAGAACCACTGGTCTAGAGTTATCTCCGGCCAGTTGCAAACACTAAAGCAAAAGAAAACAATTTTTATGAAGTATTGGTAGATTCAATCCCATTTCTGAGTGTCCCTGAGCACTGTTTTAAAGCAGCCACCTGCAAGCTGTTCCTATTTTCAAATATTTTGTACTGTATTTTCCAGCATATAAGACGAGTTTCTAAACCCTGAAAATCTCAAAAGTTGGGGATTGTCTTATACACCAGAAAAATATTACTCATCAAGTTTTCTCTCCCCCCCCCCTCGCTCAAAAAGAGTCCTAGGGTTATTATTATTAAAACCAGCCGATCAACTAAAGATATCTCTTTCCAGCCTCTATACTGGGAGTACGATAGGCATTATGTAGCTGTTGTGATGGTAAGATTTCCTGGAGGTTTATTCCCCATTCTATAATGCTACATTGCATACCGCCTCCTCTCTTCCCTCTCCTTCGCCATCCCAATTCCTTGCCCACTCTTCCAGAACTGCGGATTGGTAGTGGCCGTCCCGTGATTAATTCATTCGAAGGAAGTAGAAAGTGATGGCCCATGTAATGGGGAAGGGGGGAAAAGAATTGTAGGGTGGGTTTTTTTATATAATGAAAACAAACCTAAGCATCTGTGTCCATTCGAGGCACTTCTCAGTGCTTCTTCATGCGGGGCCTTTTCGGCATTTACCTCTCACCCCTGGTGGGAGTAGCTTGGGGGAGGTGGAGGTTGAAAGGAGGCGGGACGGTAGATGCTCATGGGGGATGCAGTGGCGGCTCATACTGAGCGTGCGACCAGTGGCTGTGGAGGTGGGCAGGCAGGCGGCGCAAGGCGTTCCCTCTTTCCTCGCGCCCTACACGGTAGGGAGGAGGAGGAGGCTATGGGTCTGGAAGGGGAGGGGTGTCAGCTAAATTCCTCTCGGATTTACGAAGCAGGAATGGAGGGGGGATAGAAAACAACTACGCGGTCCTTCCACCGAGCCTATGCCAGCGGTTTCCCCCCGCCTAAATAAACTTGCATGGTGCATTTGTGGTGTTATTTATGACATGCTGGCTGGTCAATCTGGCTCCCGTCAGTAAGTACTTAGTGCACTGAGTTTTAATAACAAAAGGAAAGCTGAAATTAAAAGGAAAGCATTTACTTCTCCCCCCCCCCATTACCTGAAAAGAGGACAACTTATCACATTTGTGGAAATGTAAGTTTTCGAAGGGTGAATGCCTTTCTTACTCGGTTTATTAACTGCTTCCTTTCCTTCTTCCCTAAACATTCTGGCTGTCACCAATTTCATTCTTGGTAGTGTTGCTTTAAAAAACTGCTGAGAAGTTCTTTTGCAGGCAGGGCAATTTTCGTCAAGGTGTGTGTGAGATTGACCAGGTAGAGCCCCAAAGTTTCCCGGCTCACAAACAGGCAGGCTTTCTGCTCGCTCGGCTCGGGGAGGCTGTGGAGGATTCGCGGGGTGGAGGACCAAGAGGAGGAGATCCCTGTGTGCAGCTCGCTTGCTCCAAGCCGGAGCTTGCTACTGGGGGGGGGGAATGGAAGGGACCTGGGGAGTCACACGCATGCCTACACACGCACACACACACATCCTGAGCTACTCATTTGGGCTTACAGGTGGCCAATGAGAACTCAGAAAACTTCGCTCCCTTTCCCCCCTCCCTCATGGAATTAGCTTGTCCATTTTTTCCCCAGGGCCTATAACGGGTAGGCAACCTTGGCTCTTTTATGACTCATGGACTTCAGCTCCCAGAATTCCTGAGCCAGGAATTCTGGGAGTTGAAGTCCATGAGTCATAAAAGAGCCAAGGTTGCCTACCCCTGGGCTATAAGATGACAGGAAGGGTTGGGCAGGCAGGGAGAGCTGACCCACCCAATCCAAGCAGGCTTTGTATACAACAACCAGCCAATCACCGGTAAGGTACATTGCTTGCCGTAATTGGCTGGTTGTTGTATACTGGGTACATACAGTACAGCACCAGTATCTGTACCAGTTCATACAGTACAGCACCAATACATACAGTACAGTATACAAATGTCCAATAGTCGACCCCATCATGGCTCCACCAGCAAGAAGAAAGAAATATGAAGCCAGTTTTAAACTTAAAGTTGTAAAATTGCCATGGAACATAATAACTGCGCTGCTGCAAGACAATATGGAGGAACAGAAAAGATGGTTCGGGACTGGAAAGCAAATGAGAAAGCATTAAAGAGTATGCCAAGGAGTAAGTGTGCATTAAGAAGAGGCACCCCACATTGGCCAGAACTCAAAAAACACGTAGCAGACATGGTGAATGAGCATCGCCAAAATGGTTATGTAATGACACGAAATAAAGTACGTTTGTTTGCACTTCAGTGGGCCAAATCTAACCCAGATCACAGCAACAGATTTAAGGCCACTGTATCCTGTATTCTTGGAAAGGTATAATATGGTACTAAGGGCAAAAGACAAAAATTGCACAAAAATTGCCTGCAGATCTTGATAGCAAAGTAATTAGTTTCCATCAATATGTAATACAACAGCGCATTAAACATGGCTATGCGTTAAGTAGTATTGGAAATATGGATGAAACTCCAATGAATTTTGATATGGTTGGAAATAAAACTGTCCATCAAAAAGGTGAAAAAACAATTTTAATTAAAACAACAGGACATGAGAAGTCCAGTTTTACAGTGGTACTAGCATGCACAGCAGATGGTGCCAAACTGAGACCAATGATTATTTTTAAAAGAAAAACTGCCGAAATTCAAGTTCCCTGTTGGTTGTTTTGTACATGTGAATAAAAAGGCTGGATGGATGAAGAAGGGGTAAAGCTATGGCTTGATAATGTACGGAGCAGGCGACCAGGTGGACTTATTCAAAAACATAGTCTACTGATGTGGGATATGTTCAGGGCTCATTTAACTCCCAGCACCAAGCAAGGGCTTGCAAGACTAAACACAGATGCGGCAGTTGTTCCTGCAGGATTGACATCGTTAGTACAGCCACTGGATGTGTGCCTAAACAAGCCATTTAAAGATCACATTCGAGAACAGTGGAATGAATGGATGGTTAGCAGCGAAAAGTCATTCACAAAAGGAGGAAACATGCATGCTCCACAGTTGGATGTTTTGTGCAAGTTTGTCATAAAAGCCTGGAATGATATTGATACAGAAACAATATTCAAGTCTTTCAAGAAGTGTGGCATATCAAATTCATTAGATGGTATGGAGGACGACTACTTGTGGCAAGATGAAGAGGAAGCCGAAGCTGAGACCATACCATCTGATACGGAATTCGATCCATACGATGACTGCCTTACAAATGTATCACAAGATGTCATTGATATTTTTATGATATCAGATGACGAACAGGATGATTTTGAAGGCTTTTAAAGGGAAAGTGTCAGGCCAGCAAAACCTGTAAAAATAGCTTGCAGTTATGATGGGCGTTGCTGACTCACCAGGGACTTGCCCGGCACTTGCTCTCTCTATTGTTTGTTATCTTCCTCCTATCATCATCAGTTTCAGTTTGGTTGACAGCTTAGAAAACAAACAGCATGGCAGCTCCCATGGGTTTATTGTCTTATCCTTCTTTTCAGCTTTAGAGTGAATTAGGAAAAGTTTAATCCACTTGCACTGTTTTATGTTTACATGTTTGATGACAAACAGCCTTATGTTTATAAGTGACAGTTTTCCTGCTAAGTACCTGCATGTCATAAGCACTTGAATTAAAATTACCATATTGAAATCAAATCTGATGTTTTTTAATTTTTATTTGGTGTGCGTTGGAAGAGGGGTAGTCTTATATGGCGAGTATAACCCAAGCTCTATATTTTAACTGGAAAAGTTGGGGGTCGTTTTATACGCCCAGTCGTCTTATACGCCGGAATATACGGTACTATTACTGCTCCAGTCTCCACTTATAATTAATATGTCTTCTCTTCAGACATTTTGAAGACAACAGCTGTGATGTATTGTATCCAGGACCTGAAAGCTCAAAATTGTGAAATGTATAGCCTTGGCCCTGTTATGAGGTTGGACCAAGTTGTTCAGTCTAACTCAGCCTTTAAGATAGTGCTGATCATAGATGGGAAATCATTTTAAAATACAGTGCAACTGAGATTATGAGCTAATTCCATAAACTACTGTACCAAATTAGTGACAGTGTTAAACCACAAATGAATGGTTGAAGAATGAAACTAAATTGTTTAGAATCAAATACATGTCCTTTCTGATGCATTGTAAATACATTTCTATATTTTGTAGGGCTATTTCTGAAAATGAATGTGTGGCTTCAGATAATTTAAAGAATGAGAGGATAGAAAAACTATTTGCCTTTTGTCTGACTGAAGCAGTTATACATTCATTTCTATGTGAAAAATCACTTGCTATTGAGCCTGTTTAAATTACTTGCAGTTTTCAGTAGATTTTTATAAGCTACAAAACATCACTGTTTATAAATTAGCCAGTAAGGCCGGAAATTTTATTGATGGCTAAGAGAGCAAGTGCTATTTGAGAAACTTAAGCATATC